CCAGAAGACATAGCCCTCCTGGTGTGGCAGATTACATGTGGTCACTCTGAGAAGCAGTCGCATAATGTTGAATCTGTTATAATTAAAATAGTTTGTAAACACCAGTTTACAAAGATTTTTAATAATAAAGAATACCAGTGAGTCTACCTAAGTAAAAAAAAAATAAAAAAAATAAATAACTTATTGGTCTGTGTAATTAACAATTTTATACACATTTCAAATTATTAACCCTTGCTTATACAGATTTTTGTTTAATTTACTAAGAATGCTGTAATACTCTTCTGCCTCATTAATAGCTTTTTTATCATGGCTTAAAACGGAGAATTGGATCATGATTACAAGGAATTCATTTATTACGAACTATATAAAGTTTTCAGCGTTTTTACACATCTCGAAATTCGAAGAAAACTTGGTTGAAATGTTTATGATTTAGTTTTATTTTGAATGTGTAAAACATTTACAACTATTTTTCACTTATTTACGATATAATTACATGTTCAATTTATTTAACATATCATACTAAGCAGCTAAGTTCTTAATTTGAAAATGAAAACGAAATTTTAATTGTATCATTGATTCAATTTGACAACTCTTGAGCTGATAATATTGGACGAATTTTGAATATCCAATTAAGTAGAAATCCTTAACCCCAAGCTATAATTTCATCATTCAGGAAAGGATTAGGTGCAACCCTATTCACGATTTTGTAATTCTATTTTTCTCCAGTCACGTCGACAACCCAACCAGTGCCACTATTGTCACTATTAATAGCTTCCTCAGCTGAAATCTCCATATCAGAATCAGAATCAATTACAATAACGTCATTAACATCAGTTGATATGTTTGACTTGGGTGGAGTGTCCTCTCTAAAACTAGCATTTTTGACGCCTCTCTCGATGGCAGCGATAACAGCATCTATATTATTAGTACAGGCATTTGTAGAAATACCCGTTTGAGGTTGGCCAACGGCCCAAAAGAGATACTTCATTTGTTCAACGTACTTCTCAACTCTGCCAAGATTTTTGAACTTTTCATACGGTAAATTTACTAGTTTGAAAGCGTTATCAATGGGAGGGTCATCATATCCATCATAAACCACACTGAATGGAAGGCCAGAAACGATTTTAGAACTGATCTTATTGCTTAGATTTGGAGGGTTTTTTCTGGACATTTTAGAATTTTTTGTCAAAAAAACAGTATTTTAAACAGATGACTATATCTGTATAACAAAACCTATATACGTTTGTAGTCGGCATGATAAATTACCCAATCCGCGTGCTAGGGACTCTTAAAAATTTCATGGGATCTAATTGCTTATTTGTGCCGGTGATACAAAATCTTAAAAGGAAATAGTCATCCTGGGTTAGCCGGCGTAGAATCCTAACACGCGAGAAAGAAAATCTGGAAAAAAACAAATCTTTAAATCGATCTTGTGCATCAATCAAAAATAACAGGAATTAAAATTTCACATAAAGTAAGTGATAATTTGTTTCTATATCCCCAATCCTAACGTCCGAACTATAGATTTGTGTCTTTAATAAAATCCCAAATTCCAGATCCCAAAAATTTTACCGAGTGCTTATAATGTTAGTCACAGTTGATAGTTAAGATGCAATGAATCTAATTCAACAATGGGTTATAAGGAATTCTAAATACAGAAGATGCACGAATTTTAACGAAGTTGCATGAATAAAGTATGATGCCGGAAATACTACGACATATCGAGTTATTTTCGTCATAATTCTAAAAGATGCTATGCTAAAATTTAGCTAAATATCAGTAAGCAGAAGATAGAAATAGCTAACTACAATCAGACCTCTCTAAGTGCACCCTCTATAAGTGCACACCCTCACTAAATGCACTTTGGTCCAATATATACTTAACCTCTATAATTACACTTATTATTCTCTAAATGCACGTTGTTAAAGTGTGGTCCCAAGAACGTGCACTTAGAGAGGTCTGACTGTACATGGTTTATGGTAGTTTTAGACAGAATGATATTGATTGTTACAGTTAGATACTGCTAAGCGATTAATGGTTTAAAAGTTTCTTATGATTTCAATTACCAATTTATGTAAAAAATTAATGAATAAATAAAGCTGAATAATAAAAATTTAAACTAGTTAACAAAACTTAAAATAAAATATAATAAATTGTTTAATTAGTAAAACTTTAAAATAATAAAGATAAATCTATTAAAAATAAATTAAAAAATACTTTTGCGGTACTATAGTGTCATGGCACTATCTCATATGTAATTATCAGATCGTATAACATGTAAATCGATTTGTTTAAAGTAAAAATTTGTTTTTTTTTTAATATTAGAGT